AATCTGCAAAAATGTCAAAAATTCTGTGTTTTTCTGTCAATATAGGGTGCTGTGTGTACATTAATGAGGAAAAAAATGAACAAATGATTTTAGCATATGGCTGCAATATAACAAAGAGTGAAAAATTTAAGGGGGTCTGAATACTTTCCGTACCCACTGTAATGTATGCATGTACAAACCAACCTCCATCTGTTATCACGGGTCATGCTTTTTACACCTGTACGCCATTTTACCAAACATTAAAATCCTTAGGAAAACATACAATTTAAATTTGAAGTAGCACTGTACCGATCACAGGGATGGGTAGAAATACCTGAGCTGTGCTGTTAGTTCACTGCACTGAAGAAGACGGCTATACCGAAATGTCTGTTTCTTTCAGGCTTGTGATTTTTTTTAAAGCTAAGAATGAAAAAATATATATATTTATATGCACCTTTGAGCAAAGGCATTTTTCATTTTTATTTTTTATGCATGCTGGTCAAATTAGACTGAGTCAGTTCAATTAAGCAGACATTTATAGTTTTGCAGGGTCTTTCTTGATTCTTCATTACTTTGGGAACTACAGTATTGTTCAAAATAATAGCAGTACAATGTGACTAACCAGAATAATCCAGGTTTTAAGTATATTTTTTATTGCTACATGGCAAACAAGTTACCAGTAGGTGCAGTAGATTCTCAGAAAGCAAACAAGACCCAGCATTCATGATATGCACGCTCTTAAGGCTGTGCAATTGGGCAATTAGTTGAAAGGGGTGTGTTCAAAAAAATAGCAGTGTGGCATTCAATCAGTGAGGTCATCAATTTTGTGAAATAACAGGTGTGAATCAGGTGGCCCCTATTTAAGGATGAAGCCAGCACTTGTTAAACATGCATTTGAAAGCCTGAGGAAAATGGGTCGTTCAAGACATTGTTCAGAAGAACAGCGTACTTTGATTAAAAAGTTGATTGGAGAGGGGAAAACCTATAAAGAGGTGCAAAAAATTATAGGCTGTTCAGCTAAAATGATCTCCAATGCTTTAAAATGGAGAGCAAAACCAGAGAGACGTGGAAGAAAACGGAAGACAACCATCAAAATGGATCGAAGAATA